TAACTCACTCAGGGAGGAATTCGAGCTTGAGGAAAAAATCAAGAAATATATTTTAAAACTTACTCGTCAAAACCTTAAGAATTTACGAACTGAATAAAAAATAAATAAAAATACATATTCGTCAAAACCTTTCTGGATTTACTGACTGGATCCCATAAAATTGTTAAAATCTACATAAAAAATCAAAATTATTCATAGAAAACGTAATAACCTACACTTATTCTCACGGTAACTCAAATCAATACTAAATATCCTCATCATATTAACAACCTGGAATTAAAAATAAATCTAATTAAACTGGTACAATTTAGGCAAAAAAAATAATAACAGATTAAAAATCTTATGAGGTAAAGTAACTCTTGCCTGTAAGATGTTGACAAAACTACCAACATTCTGAGCCGGATGTGTTCGACGAATTCTCTCTGACGAACTTGTAAACACAGAGAGACGGGCAGACGGACGGATTCACGAAGGGACAGAAAAACGAATACACGGAGGAATAGACAGTAAAACAGACGAATAGACGGCACGAAAGACAAATAAACAGACTGACAAGTGGCAAACGAAACAAGACATCTTGGTATAGAAGCGTAAAATATCAACCTAAAAACAACTTGGTTCACATACCTTAAAACGTGGGTCAGCGTAGGTCAGATAGTAACCTCTCTAAGGGACAAACTGAACTTCTTCCTCCCATTGAACTGAGAACTTGTGTTGAAGCTTCCTCGTCCAGTGGCCAAGAACCTATAATTGTATACGTGGTTAGGTTAGGTTAGGTTAGGTTAGAGAGAGACAGACAGAGAGACAGAAGAAGATAGGATCAGTCACATACGGTCGTTGCTTCCCTCTCTTCCTTCTCCTCCCACTCCCCTCTACCTTTCCTATCCCTCCCTCCTATTCCTCTCACTGTCTTTCCTACCCCTTTCCTTCCTCCCTCCTCCTTCCTCTTCTACCCCACCATCTCTTCCCCCTATCTCTTTCCCTCTCCTCCTTCTATCATTCTCCCTCTCTTACCCCTCTCTCCCTCCTATCCCCCTCTCCACCTCACTCCTCCTATCCCCGTCCCCCACCCACATGAATGACAGCTGAACCCCGAACCCTAATCTACCCCCCACATCTTGCAGTGTCACTTCCTGGGCCCACTAACACTACCAGTCAGTTACACGAGTCAAAATATATCATACTACATTATACTAAATCATACTGGTTATATTTCATTGTTTTTAGCACTCCTACCCCTCTCCCCTCCTCCTCTCCCTCTTTAATCTCTCTCCTACGACCTATTCCTCTCCTTTTTCTCCTTCCTCTCGTTCCTATTCCTCTCCTCCTTCCCCCCGCCTATTCCACTCTTGCTTCTTAACCCTCTCCCTTTCCTCCACTCCTATTATTATTATTAAGTAAGAACAGAAAGTAACCAGCGTGTCTCAAAGCCTTACCCTCCCACACACGTTCAGTTATCAGCCACAACATTTGCATGGAGTAAAAAACACGACACGAACTCATCTTTCGTTTGTCAGAAGGACGATTGGTCGACCTATCTGATTGTGAATAAAGTTGTAAGAAGTAGTGGTAGTCATGCCTTGGTTATATTCAGGTGTTTGGAGAATTTACATATTACAAAATGACACTACAATACCCAAGTACTTTATTTTATGTGGCTACGTAGAGAGATGATTATTTATTTGCACTTACGAAGCTCTGTATCAAAACACATTATAGGCTTGTAGTCCTGTCATAACCATACAGTCAACAGTGATCAAGGTCTATCATTTATGAACCATGTTAACACCTAACCACGTCCCTCACCTATGTATTCCTAAACTATGAAAACACAATAATATCTACGTGAATTAAGGTATGTTTATATAATTCATTCCAAATAGATACTGTTAGTTTATAATAATAATAACAAGAAGAAGAAGAAGAAGAATTTAACAATAAAATAAAGACGAAGAGGAGACAAGGAGTAGTGAAGGATGGATCAAAAAATGGATAAGATTTGTGATAAAGGGAGACAGGGTGAGTCAAAGGGAGGGAGGGAGGTAACGGCCAAGAAGCAACAATTCCCTCCCTCCTTTCCTCCCACCCCCTCCCCCTCCCCCTCTCCCACCCTCTCTCCCTCACTCCCTCCATCTGATGAACTCCAATGATAACCCCGACACCTCCTTACTATACTGCTGGTCTCCTATACTGCTGGTCTCCTATAGTGGAGGTCTCCTATACTGGTGGTCTCTCTTATACTACCTGAAAATTAAACAACCTAACCTAACCCTCAGGTAGGGATAGGTTAGTTAATCTTCAGGTAAAATAAGTTACAGTGTCTAATCCTCATGTGATCCTAAAGCTTTAATCTGACTCAAGGAAGTTTTATACTCAAGCTGGAGACGTTTACTAGTGATTCATACCTTTAAACCGGCCAAAAACTCTGTCTGGATGCTCTTGGTATGGAGTCTGTCTTCATAACATCACAAATAACATCACAATAACATCACAACACTACACATTCAACATCTTCCGTGGTTATAAACATCTCCAATCACAACCTCTCTGATCTACAACTTGTTATTGTTGTCACTTTCACTATATAACTCAGATGGGAATATTTAACTCATAATACCAACTGGTCAAAATAGTATAGGGATATTTTCAACCCATAGATGGCGTTTATTTAAGGTATAATATAATGCGTCCTTATATAAACACAGGATTTTATGATTGATATCCTCTTTATGAGCTAGACAGACATACAGACACAAACACAACCTTAATAAACATTATATAACAACTTAAATAAGGAAAATAAGTCGTATTTTTCCTCCCAATAAGGTCCGGTTTAGCTCCCTGATCATCATAGCCCTGTACTTCACTGTTAGCTTGTGTATAGACAGTACATTTATACAATATACATAGACAGCGCAGGTATACATAGTGTACATAGTATACATAGATTAAGTTGTGTTTGGTCCTATGTCGTTCAATGTCTCTTTGGTTATCCATGTATTAAATACCTTATTGTTTATTAGTGTATACTTGCTGTACTGTTAAGCCACGTTGTAATCTATCTATCTCTCTATCTATCTATCTATCTATCTATCTATCTATCTATCTATCTAGGGAGACATTATTAAAGAGAAAATAATTCCATTTTCTATTCACGATCAGAGAAAACCAAATAATAAAATGGGTAACTAAAGTAGATATGTATACTTCCTACATTGCCTCAATTAGTGTTTCCTTTTTAATACGTACATAATTACTTTGCAGTATTTCTAATATTAGGAACTGCTATTAACATCTGGTTTTATTTGTACCTATTAAATCAGAAGAACTATTAAAACTTGTACTTATCCCTAATGAAGAGATAGGTTAGGTTACATTAGGTCAACTTGGGGCCTGATAGGACTGGGGCCTATTTAATCTGACACCTGATATCCCTCTGACGGTGAAAGTCATTAGAAAGAATTTAAAACTTTCATCAGAGTGTCAGTACCCCATTGTGACCACCACCCGTGACCCAAAGTGACTCTCTCTCTCTCTCTCTCTCTCTCTCTCTCTCTCTCTCTCTCTCTCTCTCTCTCTCTCTCTCTCTCTCTCTCTCTATCTCTATCTCTATCTCTCTCTCTCTCTCTCTCTCTCATCAACATCAGTTCGTCGACGTTTCAATAGACGATTATAGTTAGACTGGGCGTGACCATATGATACGCCTCCTCACTGTTGGTACTGCCTTGGTTCATCCTCTTACCACCTCTTCACTGACTGTCACTCTCGGCATAACAACAAAATTATTATATACTCAGTGATAATACCTTGAGGAACTGTGTGTAGGAATCCTGTAAAACTGAGGAAACTGAGAAAGATTTAGTCATCTCTGTTTACTCTTCCTGTCAGTAGAATTATATGACGAAGTAAACAGTACGTGTTGCCTCGCACGATGAGCTGGAGAAAGTGACCTGGAATATAAACTCTCCCGGTAATAGTGTAACTCTCCCGGTAATAGTGTAACTCTCCCGGTAATAGTGTAACTCTCCCGGTAATAGTGTAACTCTCCCGGTAATAGTGTAACTCTCCCGGTAATAGTGTAACTCTCCCGGTAATAGTGTAACTCTCCCGGTAATAGTCTAACTCTCCCGGTAATAGTGTAAATAGTGTAACTCTCCCGGTAATAGTGTCTCCCGGTAATAGTCTAACTCTCCGGTAATAGTGTAACTAGTAATAGTGTAACTCTCCCGGTAATAGTAACTCTCGTAATACTCGGTAATAGTGTAACTCTCCCGGTAATAGTGTAACTCTCCCGGTAATAGTGTAACTCTCCCGGTAATAGTGTAACTAGTGTAACTCGGTAATAGTGTAACTCTCCCGGTAATAGTGTAACTCTCCCGGTAATAGTGTAACTCTCCCGGTAATAGTGTAACTCTCCCGGTAATAGTGTAACTCTCCCGGTAATAGTGTAACTCTCCCGGTAATAGTGTAACTCTCCCGGTAATAGTGTAACTCTCCCGGTAATAGTGTAACTCTCCCGGTAATAGTGTAACTCTCCCGGTAATAGTGTAACTCTCCCGGTAATAGTGTAACTCTCCCGGTAATAGTGTAACTCTCCCGGTAACTCTCCCGGTAACTCTCCCGGTAACTCTCCCGGTAATAGCGGTAATAGGTGGTGGTAATGGTCTCCTCGGTAATAGGTGTCTCAATGTACTCTCCGGTAATAGAAGGTCTCTCCCGGTAATAGTGTCAATGCTCTCCCGGTATGTGTGTCTCATTAAAGGATTTAGGTCATTTATTTTTGGTTCAGTTGGTCCTGGTCTTTGTTTTGCCTTTTTTAAATGTCTCGAGTACCAGGGGTCTTTAGTAGGAGTCAGGTGTGTGGGGTTAATGAGGTTGGAGGGGGGTTGGGGGGTTTTGGTGTGGGGGGGGTTAGTTGAGGGGGGGGGGAGGGTCGAATGCCAGCTGAGGTGAGGTAAGGTGAGGTAAGGTTGCATGAGTAGAGTTCAGTCGTGGTTTAACTTTCTCTCTGAGCGGTCGAGTATATTCCCCACACTCACACAGACACACACACACACACTCACACCAGTCTCACCCTTAAACCATCATTCCCTCACACATAATCCTCAAGTCGACAACGAACATACATACTCCATAATCAAGTCGACATAATACGTAAATAACAAGGATGTGTACGTAAAGTGAAAAGTGTCCATGGTGATAGTGTTAACATCGGCCGTATGAGCTCAGCAAGTTATCGTATGTTGGATATGATCGAGGAAGGAGCATCTGGGGGATATTATCAACTGTTTCTGGTGAGTTATTGTGATCTGTTCTTTATTTTGCAAGTATGTAGAATATTTTTAAATCATGGGAGTGTTTTTTGTTTTAGATTAACCTTACTCTGAGTGTATTATTCTGCTTTTATCTTATTTTTATCATACTTCCATCATACTAAGCGCCAATATTTACAAAAAGTGATGTATTTTATCCTGATAACTATAACCATACAGAAATATACGACATCGTCTGACTATACTGCAGCAAAAATACACACGAGAAACAATACAATACCACACAATACAATACAATACCACACAATACAATACGATACCACACAATACAATACAGTACCACCATCCCCCCCCCCCACACACTCTACCGCAGTGAATGTGGGTGAGTATCCAGCCTCCTCAGTCCAATGCTTGATGCTGTTAAACTATAGAGAGAAAGTTTCAAGTCTTATCGTCTGTTTATTCATAAGTCTTATACATATTTACTATTGTGGATGTTGATTATTCACTTCTTATACATATACTACATTCCTACATAACTCACACACCTACAGAGTCTCCCCACGTTGGTGCTAGTCACTTTTTCATTGACTTTCACCCCGCATTTTTTCAATTCAGAGTTGCCAACCTTTCCACACCTGAACTTAACCCTGATATAAAAAGAAGGTAATTTTTAATCTTTTATTTCCTAGTTTCATTGAATATTATAAACCTACGATTTTGTGGAGAGAAATGAAATAAGAGTTTGAGAAGCGTTTGGTGTCCGGGGCGAGTTCTTGTGAGTGGTGGTCAAGCAAAAAAAAGTTTAACGTTTTCACTTCGCGAGAGGCGGGTCGAGGAGACGGGTCTGTATACAGCGTTGGTAAGAGGAATTCCTTACTCGTAGAAAATGCCATTGATAGATTTGTTAAGTATACTGTATATACTCGTACTGCCGGATGTTGCTGTGTCTTAATCTCACACTATAGTTCACGTCTCTGCTCTGATAGCCTTCCCTCTCCCTTCCTCTTCCGCCTCTTCCACTCTCCTCCCACCCTCCTTCCTCCCCCTCCTCCTCCATCCTCCCTCTTCCTACGTCACCCCTTTCTCTTCCTCTCTTCCCTCCCTCAAATCTTAGCTCCTCCTCCTCTCAATCATCTGCTATCCGCCAGGCAACTTTTCCTGCACCATTCATATCCTGCTCTCTCTCTCTCTCTCTCTCTCTCTCTCTCTCTCTCTCCCCTAATGAAAATGCTCAAGATCTACGTTTTAGTGTGTGTGTGTGTGTGTGTGTGTGTGTGTGTGTGTGTCTGTACTAGTGTGTATATACGTGTCTGTCCAATAAACCTAATTCCTGTACGTTTGACCTAAGTGATGATTACCTGACCTCACCTGTCATTACCTTACCTGTAGTACCTGGCCACGAGTAGAAGTCACCACTAGTGTTGAAGGAATCGACAGGTGAGACTCAAACACTAATCTGGTTCTTGAAGTAGTGTAGGAATTGTGGTGAGGAAGATGTTGTGTGAGAGGGAGAGATGAGGGAGTGTGGGAGAGGAGCGTGTGGGAGGGAGGGTGAGGGAGTGAGGGAGAGGAGAGTGTGGGAGGGAGGGTGAGAGAGATGATAAAAGGAGGAATAGAGAAAAGGAGATTTACACAAGCTCACATACCTCTTAAACACCCCACTTAATTAATCCCTCAACCGTAACTATACATCGTAACATCAACACCACCTTGTAAATAAACACAAAGTCGATAATTAAACAAAACAGTAAATTTTCCACTTGAGATCCATAAAGAAAGTCGAATTCCCGCCACATTCATTCTTCTCTTTTACAACCGGGTTACAAAGACCAGTTCGTGTACAGTAAATCCGAGAAATGAAAACTTTGCTTGCGTTGAAGATCTCACCCAAGGAGCTCTCTAACATACTGGGGAAAATTATACTAAGCAAAGGCCATAACTTAACTCCGAGAGAAAGTTTGGTTGGTGTGAGACTTGTTGTTGCCGAGTTTGGTATTTACGCATTTGGTAATAGTGAACTTAACTTTCTACTTCATGTGACCTTTGTAGAAAATGTTTAATTATTTAAGGATGTAATTTTTAAGATAAAGTAATAATTGTTTTAAGTATTTTTGGTCAATGTTTAATTTATATTGAAAAAAATAATAATTACTTAACCATTAAACTCATATATTAAGTTATCGTAAGTGTGTCATCAAGTTATCTTACGTGTCATACTAAGTTATCGTACGTGTGTTATAATGGTCATCTTCATTATAGAAATATTCAAGACTTAATTCTTTCATTCATTCATCCATTCATTCTCTTTTTTCTTCACGCAGTCATGTTTACGAAGCGAAACGAGTTGCTCTATCATATACTCTATTTAATTATTTTTTAACTCCTTAGATTAATTAGAGACGTGTGTTGGGTTTAGTTTTTTTTGATGGATGAAGTGATGCAGAGGAATTAAACTGGTAGTACGTATGTCTGTCGGAAAAGGTGCTTGAAATCGTGTTTGGAAAGTCGTCAGGTTAGGTGAAGAGGATACTGCTTTCACTGCGTAAAATAAATACAGATTAATAATTGTGTTACATGTACGTGTTTGTATCGCCCCCCCCCCCTCTCTCTCTCTCTCTCTTCGTTAATTTGTTTGTCCTTCATTCTCTCACTTGCAGGAGGAAACTCTAGTCAGACGTCAGGAACCAAGGGATTGTACCTCCAGGGGGCGCTGCTGACGATCTGAGGAGTCAGCACCTCTAAGAAGACGTGTCAGCAAATCCTCCTTCATTGTCTCCTATCCCTTTATCTCCCAATCCTTCCATCCTCTCCCTATCCTCCCCCCCCATCCCTTCAGCATCCCCCAGAAGTAAACAACTAACACATCATGAGGAGGGCAGTAGTCTTCAAGGGCACGTGGCTCCTGCCGGTGTCCCTCCTACGTCTACTCCTCCTGGCGGTCATCAGAGAGGCGGGACAACACGACTATGATGCCTCAGACAGACTCGGATCCTATTACGATTTTATAGTTGGTAATTTGTATATATTTTCCTGTTGACACCTATAATAAATTTACTATATTGTGATTATTTTGGGTAATATAATTTGTATAATTTTCTTGTATTGTAATAGTAGTGTTGTTGATGTTGTCGTTGTTGTTATTATTATTGTCGTTGTTGTTATTGTTATTATTATCACCTCGTCAACACAGTTGGGGCAGGGACAGCAGGAGCCGCCTTAGCAGCTCGTCTGTCGGAGGTAGACGGGTGGAGGGTCCTTCTACTAGAGGCGGGAGGAATACCGCCCCTAGAGAGTAATATTCCAGCTCTCTACGGGATACTCTTACAGGGTGACGCTGATTGGAACTTCAAGACCGTCCGCCAGAAACACGGCCTCAAGGGATTCACAGATCAGGTGAGTCATTGTTGTGGTTTTAACCCCCCTTAAGACCTAACCTAACCCAACCTAACTTAACCTAATCTAACCTAACCTAACCAAGTCTCCATCACACAGGCCATACCAGTAACCCGAGGGAAGATGGCTGGGGGGAGCTCCTCTATAAACTTCATGATGTACGTGAGAGGAAACAGACGTGACTTCGACAACTGGGCGGCCATGGGAAACCCCGGGTGGGACTATGCCTCCGTCCTGCCTTACTTTAAGAAGAGTGAAGACTACAGAGGCACCAGACATGCTGCTACAGGTAATAGATGTTCTTGAATGTTAGTTTGTCATTCTATGTAAACTTTCAGTACTGATATCTCTGTCACCCATCTCTCTGCCACCAATATCTGCCAGCTCTCTATCTGCCACGTGTCATTCTGCGATCTATCCATCTAATGAGTGACACCCCACCTCACGACACGGCCTACTGACCTACTTGACACGGCCTACTGACCTACACGACACGGCCTATTGAATTATGCGACACGGCCTATTGACTTACACGACACGGCCTATTGACCTATACGACACGGCCTACTGACCTACACGACACTCCCTAACACAATATACGGTCCAATAGTAAGTTTTCCCGTCGTTACATTCACTTACAAATGTTGAATCATTTTTATTTGTTCTTTGTTGGCGTATTTCATATATATATCATAACTGCAGTGTCATTGTTTTAGCGCTAATGAGTAATGTCAACAGAGGAGTTTCTCTTAAATTTACACCATCATAGAAAACGGGTCAGCTCTAATGGGAACACTTGGTAGTTTGTTTTTATTATGTTTTTTTTTGTTCAACCACACATAAAAACCCTACACTCACTAACCACAGAACTGTCAGGTGATAAAAAAAAGTAGATAGTATGAAACTCACTTAGTCATTGTGTTGATATTTGTTGTGATAAATGAGTGTTTCATTAGAACACAGAACAACATAATAACAATATAATCAGGTCACAGTTTTAAGTCAGTAAAAAATTATCATTGAGCTGACTAACGAAGCCAATAATAAGGGAATTAAATACAAGTTAACAGGTAAGTCAGGTCATCAGAAAAAGTCAATTTGTTTCTGTTGGTGGGAATGACTTTATTGCTGAGTTGAATGACGTTTAATTTAGTATAACATTGTTACTATTTTCCATCAGTAAGTCAGTAAAAGCTGCTGCGGGTAATTTTCATGTTATCATAAAAAATTATTGACAAAAATAACAATATTTACCGAGTGAAAGTTATGTTACAACTCCCTCAGTGACCACGTGCCATAAAGTGTAAAAAGTTGAGTCAGTTCTGGCAGCTTCAGTCATCCAGGAATAAGCACCTTCCTCTGACTTCACGTATTGGTTGGTCACTTCAGGTGTACCATAATTTATAACAAAAGTATGAATATTATGACATTCCTGAGGTGTTTTTAATAATTCTAGTAATGATAAACTTTTTTGGAGTGACCAGACTTGACCAACAGACCGATCAGTGGTGAAGAGGATAGAGCAAATGATTAAAGTCTATTTTATTAATATTTTTGTCGTGTTAAGGTATTTTATTGTGGCTAATTCAATACGATTTTATTTAGTACACCCTGTTCCTTAAGGCGGTGAAGTTCATCTGTACCAGTGCTGTGCCTCTTGGTGTCAGCTGATCACCGCACTATCACCACCACTGTTTGAAAGCAGACATCGACCACACTCGTATCATGTACACATTTATATTAATGCATATCTAACCTCACTATACCAGCCAAAAAAAAGGGGCTAGATAGAACACATAAGACCAACCCAGTACAACAACCAGTAGAATCCCGTGGCAAAATAAATTTAGTTAAGTTTACCATTAACTATAAAAGAAAACTAGAACCTTTCATCGGTAACTCGTGTATTTTTGTCATCATACACTCCCGCGTTTCCTTAAAGCTTCTAAGTTCGTAAAATACCTTCTTTTCTTTCTCTACTAGGTCAGATCAGGTCAGATTAAGTCAGGTTAGGTTAGGTTAGGTTTTTTTTATCATCTAGTCAGTAACAACAGCGGCCAGAGGGTTCCGTTCCGTCTCTACTAACACACTAACTCACCTCGTATCTCCCCCAGCTGAGTACCACGGGTTCGGGGGCGCCCTTAGTGTGGAGGACAAGGGCTGGTACTCCCCCATCCTTCAGGGCTTCCTTAAGGCCGGCCAACACCTGGGCTACAGTGTTATAGATCCCAATGGACCTGAGATGATAGGTATGTCGTCTGTCTCTCTCTCTCTGTCTATCTCTCTCTGTCTGTCTCTGTGTCTATGTATGTGTGTCTATCTGTCTGTCTATCTCTTTCTGTCTGTCTCTGTGTCTATGTATGTGTGTCTATCTGTCTATCTCTCTCTGTCTGTCTGTCTGTTTGTCTGTTGTCAAGTATTTAGTGTTGGTCTCCCCCCTTCAGGGTTCAGTGTGCCGGACATGACTGTTAAGGAAGGATGGCGCTGGTCCACTGCCGAGGCCTACCTCAAGCCCTCAGCCCATAGGTCTAACCTCCACATCGTCCTCAATGCCCACGTAACTCAGGTAAGTCATCAACACCCAGGTGAGTCATCAACACCCAGGTGAGTCATCATTACCCAGGTGAGTCATCAACACCCAGGGGTTTGACCACGTTACCTCTATACCATCCCCCCGTGATGTAAACAACCCATGACGTCACATAAATCTGCTCCTCTGGCTAAACTACAACTCAACCTAACCTAACCACACCAAGAAACAACCATTGTATTCTTACGTCTCATAAAATTCAACCTCTGTTCTTCCCTCCCTGACAGATACTGTTTGACCAGCAAAAGCGAGCCTCAGGGGTGCGCTTTGAGCATCAGGGAATGGTGAGTAACCCACCTGATCTATAAACGTCTCCATATTGTAGCTTGAGTTAGATTGAACCATCAGCTGAAATAAATTAAAGTCTATAAACTTCACACATTCCCTAACATATTTGATCTTCGGTTTAATCTTTTCTGTACGTGTCTCTTAGGTTTATTTCTCTCCTGACGAAGCGGTTGTGTTGACAGGTGAAGATGGCTCTGGCGAAGAGGGAGGTGGTGGTGTCTGGGGGCGCCATATCCTCACCCCAGATCTTGATGGTGTCTGGAGTAGGACCAGCCAAACACCTTCACCACCATGGCGTGAGTATACCTAACCTAACCTAACCTAATCTAACCTCGCCTCACCAATCCTAACCTAAAACTAATAATCATGAACTTTAATCTAAAAAAAAAACAGTATCCATGATCATTGAGCTAAAAAACAACAGTGAAGACTTTAGAACAATTAAAAAAATACCAAATCTCAGTTTATCATTGTTGTGATGGGGACAGATCAAGGTGGTGGCGGACGTGGCTGGAGTGGGTCAGAACCTACAGGATCATGCATCAATCTGGGGACTCACCTGGACCACTGCACCTGATACCTCCATCAGTTTATTTACCTTGGCCAGTCCCACAGCCCTCGCCGACTACGTCTTCAGGAGGAAAGGTTCAGTGGTGTCTTTAATCTGTTTACTTAGTCTCTTACCTTAAAGTTTCAGAAGACATAAGAGACAATAAATTCATTCATGGTATTTTGTTTTCCTTTTTTTAACATCACAAGGATTAGTATTTAAGACCTTCCCATCTTCACCCCATCAATAGGTTACTGACGGGTACCATCCTCTTCTACAGGTCCCTTCACGGCGCCCCTCGGTATAGAAGCCCACGCCTGGATCGAAGCAGATGAGGGCGACCCCTATTGGCCTGAGCTTCAGTTCCTCTTCATAGCAGGTACCTCAATGTTCGACCACGGGATCGCTATGCCTGACCTGATGGGCTATGACAGAGAGGTAAGGGGTCCGTCGATGTGTCTCTCTTAGGTAATGGAGGAGCTTTAACACCTTCACTACAGGGACACTATTTTGTATATTTTATTTAGTTAACGTTAGACGATTTTATTCAGCTCAGAGGAGAAATTGGGTGTTAGTTGACTATCCCCCAGTATTGACTATCTCCCAGTATTGACTATCTCCCAGTATTGACTATCTCCCAGTATTGACTATCTCCCAGTATTGACTATCTCCACAATGATTAATTATGAAGAGAGAAATATCAAACGTATAATTATTTACATTGATAATATAACACAGAAGATTATTAAACTTATATATAATCGTTACTAAATTATATTTAACAGGGGAGTAAATTACGGTTTTAATTAGTTATTATAGATTGGTAGATTAGGTTAATTATCTATGATTAATTTGTGATTAGATATGATTAGATAGACACCACAGTTGATTAGTTAGACCAAGAAGGTAAATATTTCATTCATTCACTCAATCATTCACTCTCTGCCCCCTCCCCTCCCTTCTTTATCCATTCACTCACTCCTCCTGTCCTTCCCTCTCCCTCTCTCCCACCTCATCCCCTTCCATCCACTCTCCCTGCCTCACTCCCTCTCACTCCCTCTCACTCCCTCACTCCTTCTCTCCCCCCAGTTCTTCTACAAATACTTCCTGCCGATACGGAATCAGGAAGGGTTCAGTATCGCCCCCATGCTGACCAGAGCCAGAAGTCGGGGGTCAGTCACACTTAAGTCTAGTGACCCCAAGAGTGACCCTGTGATTGACCCTAACTATGTCAGTGACCCCACGGACGTCAAAAACCTGATCAAAGGTGTGTGTGTGTGTGTGTGTGTGTGTGTGTGTGTGTGTTTGTTCTTTCTTTATATGTTAAAATATTCAAATAATTTGTCTTGTGTTTCATTGAGTAAGTTCAGCGGATAATACAAAGCCACGTAATTAATTCCACTCTCTCTCTCTCTCTCTCTCTCTCTCTCTCTCACCATCAGGTATCAAGTTCGCCCTGGCAGTTGGCAGTACTCCTGCCATGCGGGACGAATATGGCTCAAAATTCCACGATAAGGTAATGTCTGTATGTCTGTGTCTGTGTCTGTGTATGTTATGACTACAGACTTTGATATTCTCCCCATAAAGACACTTTCTTCCCCAGATAATCAAATAATCTCCCCACACACTCAACTATACCCTCCCCATATACTCTCCCCACAGGTGGTGCCGGGGTGTGAGGGACAGGTGGTGGAGAGTGACGCGTACTGGGAGTGTGTAGTTCGCCATCTGACTGGCACTACCTACCACTTCGTTGGCACTTGTAAGATGGCACCTCCCTCTGACCCTCTAGGTGTAGTGGACCATACACTCAAGTACGTCTTCTCTAAGTTCTATGTCTATTTCAATGCCTTCAGATATAGAATACATTATAATTTACGTCTATCTACCCCTAAGTGTATGTGTAACCAGGTGTATAAGTATGCATAGCCAGATGGTTAAGTTATACATATGTGGTAGAGAGTAGAGAGTGTGTTATCCCTGGTGTGTTGTTGCAGGGTGCGGGGAGTGACGGGGTTGAGGGTAGTGGATGCCTCTATCATGCCCCTCGTCGTCTCGGCCAACACCAATGCCGCCACCCTCATGATAGCTGAGAAGGCCGCCGACCTCATCAAAGCGGAATGGGGAGTCATCTCACGCCGTTACTCGACCCTATAGTGCCGCCCATGGGTCCTTCAGTCCTCCTCCTTCAGGTGTTGTATGACGCTGACGACCACAAGGAAGGAAGATTGTGATGCGTCTTCAGGCTGGAGTAGGACCTTAGAGAAGGACATTTATCTACAGAGGGTGACGTATTCCTTATCCGGAGTTTACAAGTTTGAACAAATCGCAGGAAGAGTTAGGTAGCTGTTTCTCAGGAGTCCAGGACCAAGTACTTGACTCTCAGGGGAAAAGGGGGAGCTAAATCTCAGCGTCATTAATTAACCTGACTTTATAAATCAACTCATCCACCTGTCTCGTAACTCTAGTTTAGTAAAGTCCCGGAAAACAGTCCTGTCAGTGCCCCCGTCCCAGCCATGAACCCTGGACTTGTGAATCTGTGAATCCGAGATATCACACAGTGCGCCCATGGCTGTGTGAGGTTTCGGATTCACAGGTTCTTAAGTCCAGGGTTCATGGATGGGACGGGGGCACTGACAGGACTGTTTTCCCGTGACTGTACTGTACGAATGATGGTCTGAGTATTCTGTACCTCAAACCTGGTTGGTACACTTCACTCCCTGGGCGATCTAGGAGCACATTACCTAGGAGGGAGAGGTACTGTACCAAAAGGCCAAACACCTCACTTCCAAGCTTCAGTATTATATGTGTTTCAAGGGACCAGGTATATAAAGGTCACATCAGGAACAGTGTGTGTGTGTGTGTGTGTGTGTGTGTGATGACCATAAACAGTAGTGTATAAGTTCTCAGTGCCTGTAAATAATGTTAAGTTTATACACTGAACAAGTCAAGATTAGGATAGCTCGTCTCCGGACGCTAAAACATAAATAGAAATAATAATAACAAATTAATATTGTTAAAACAAATTGCTTGAACTAATACTTGAGTGTTTGAGTCGTGTGATAAGATGGCTTTAGTTAACATTATATAAATTAAAGCATAAGACACAGGTATGTTTTAAGTACGTCAAGTTATGTAGTTCCCGCAGTGATGGTCAGGGGGACGTGAGTCTCTGTTCTTTTAGTGAAATAAAAAGTATTTTGGCAATTGTGTTTAGTATCTCCTCATAGTCCTCCATAATGCCTTTAGATCCCTTATTAAGAGTGATGAGCTGAATGGTTTTTACAGTATAATGACTAAACTAGTGCACGTGTTTACAAACTTTACACGCGTAGTAATACATTATAATAACAACATGATCGAACACAGACTACGAGCCTAAATGATTATAATATAAACAATACTCTTCGTTTATAATTTCTATATTAAACAGTTAAATACAATATTTTGAATTTATATATCGCCTTAGTCCCCTTTTTATTAATTACCAGAACAAATTCTATCACTAATGTCCAACCAAGAGGGTATAGCGGGAAATGATGTTAATTGCTATCGAGGGTATAATTAGGCAATTCAGTAGTTACCAATGGACCGAGACGATGATGGAGCCAGCAAATAAAATCAGGTAGTTGAGGGAGAACATTCGTTGAGGGAACAAGTGTGAAGTATTGTTAGTGTGAAATAGTGATAAATATGCCTGTACTTACCTGTGTGTGCGTAGTGATGATTCGTGTGGTTGTGCTTACGTCCTCAGCCTCGTCAACAACACACAGACAGACGGGATGATAGTGAAACAATTCTACAGTTCTACAGTCGAAGAAAAACTTCAAAATAAGGTAAGATAGTGAAGATACTTACGTGATAGTAATTAGATAAAGTAAATCAGATAAGTATTATTACAGGTGAAGCAGACATTTACCGCTCCCACGGTCAAGGGTTTCAGGGTCACAAGATAAATATTGACCTGGTTTAAGGGGAATCCAATGCTAAACAAAGGCGTATCTCAGGTATAGGATTAGTCTCTGGAGAAAGTTGAGGTTACTTATTCGTGAACAAAGAGAGTTCTGTCACTTATAGTATCTTGTAATGCCAATGTTTGATCTTCTTTTGTTTTTGTACTGGATTTTGTTGTCGAGTGAAATTTTCGGAGTTACTGAGAAATATTGTACAGATTGTTTCTCTCTCTCTCTCTCTCTCTCTCTCTCTCTCTCTCTCTCTCTCTCAACTCCACGATATAGAGAGAGAGGAGCGAGGGGCTGTTCTTCTGAGCGGACATCCGTAACTCCCTGATAAGACGACTCGATCCCAAGGCCAAACTTATTAACTCAGTTGGATCCTCCGTCCCTTGTCTCAACTGTCTCTCTATCCGTCTGTTTATAAATCTGTCTACGTAAGTTTTATAATAGAGGATAAATAAACAAGATATATGGTCATTAAGGCTATTGTGTTTACGATTTTAAGGCGTAGGTAACGATATGAAGTGAAGTTATCCAAATTTGATGTAGAATTATTATATACTTTTAGTTGGGTTAGGTTTAATTAGGTTTGATCTGAAGAGGAATATTGCGGTTTTATTCGTGGTTTATTTATCAAGGTTTAACTAACACCCAAGAACAATATATCAAACCCAGAGTGAATTAAACATGCCATTAACATCAAACTAACATATTTAACATAACCTATTAAACATTAGATACCGATCCTTAACAAGAAATTTCAACACTGAGAAATAAGTATCTACGAACACTAGTAATAATAATGTACTACAGTCTACATCACTACAGGAGTTATATCTATTTAAAACTCCTGCATCATGAGGTGGGAATCCAAACACACTACAGTATATACACAAGGCTCGTAACTTACCTCAGAACACTTGGTGGCGTGTGGTGTGGTGGTGTGGTGTGGTGGTGGTGGCGTGGTAGTGGTGGTGTGGTTGTGTGGTGTGGTGGTGGTGGCGTGGTAGTGGTGGTGGTGTATGGTGGTGGTGTGTGGTGGTGTTATATTTCACTCCTAAAACACTATACTGTATGTTTTATATTTTAATTTTATCTATTTTAAAAAACCATTATTACAAGTTTTCTCCTGGTAGGTATAGTTTGAGTACCTTTGTTATGTCACCTTTGTTTAGCCCTGACTTCCATTTATACGCCTCTATCATATCGCCCCTCACTCTACGTCTCTCGAGGGAGTGCAAATTAAGATACTTTAACCTAGTGTCTCTGTACTCAAGGTTCATAATACCCATATTTAACTTTGTCACCTTCTGAATGCTGTCTAGGTAATCAGAGTCCATTCTATAGTACGGGTCAGAGTCCATTCTATAGTACGGGGACCAAACTGAACCGTAGAGTCCAAGTGTATTAGCAATCATAGAAAGTTTATAAAAGTAAAAAAAAAGTAATCATTTTTTATTCGTTTGATAATATTAGTAAAGAAATTATTTAAGAATTTTATTACTTTTTAACAGATTTACTATTATTTTTTTATTTACGAATTTATTAAAGTTAATTTGTATATTTGTGTAGGAATTAATTTGAGTTTTTATTTGTGTTTCTATGATGGTGAAGTGTGTGTGTGTGTGTGTGTGTGAGTGTGTGTGTGTGTGTGTGTGTGTGTGTGTGTGTAGTGATAGGAGGTAGTCAGGTGTACTATCTTATCTCACCTTCCCACCACCACTGATAACGCTAATCATTCACCACACCACTACTCTCTCTCTCTCTCTCTCTCTCTCTCTCGTTCTTTAATATATTACTTTATTAAATATAAGATATTTTATTAGCTACAAGTTATTAAATACGATTAATTATTGTTTTTAATATATACAAGAAGAAATAACTTAAAGAAATTAAATACTCACGATAGTTTTGGTAACGTCTATGTAACCCGGATGGTCGAGCCGCCATTACCACAAGCTAATGTAAACAAGAGGAATAAATCTTCTTAAAATAACATATCAGCAAAAGGCAAATGACTAAACAATTTATAGACGGGAAAGAAGAATAAAAACAACATAAATCTAATAAAGAGAGAGAGAGAGAGAAGGGAGAGAAAGACAATAAACGAAGGAGGAAGGAGTGTGTGGGGGGAGGAAGGGAGACGCGTGCCTCAGCATTCACCAAGACGCTCACACTCCTCCAGGCATTCACGCCAGTTGAGGATTACAAACTGTACACGCTCTGGGGGACACGCGGCTCTGGGGGACACGCGGCTCTGGGGGACACGCGGCTCTGGGGACACGCGGCTCTGGGGGACACGCGGCTCTGGGGGACACGCGGCTCTGGGGGACACGCGGCTCTGGGGACACGCGGCTCTGGGGGGACACGCGGCTCCTCTGGGGGACACGCGGCTCTGGGGGACACGCGGCTCTGGGGACACGGCGCTCCTCTGGGGGACACGGGGCTCTGGGGGACACGGGGCTCTGGGTACCACTGTCATGTCATACAGTCATGTCATACACCAGTCATGTCATACACCAGTCATGTCATACACCACTGTCATATCATACATAAACGAGGTTAAAAAAACACATTTGTCAAGTTCCCACGTAGAACAGGATCAATAAATACCCACTACCCCTTTGACAACGAAATTACCTTATGACGTCATGCGTAATTCATTAAAAAAAAAAGATCACGTGAAAAGTTTCCATGAATTACGGAATCAATAAAGAGCGCGCGACCCCCCACCACCGCCAGCTGACTCCGGGACAAAGAAAACGAACCTTTATATCAACGACTCTCCAATCTCAGTCACCAGGATCGATATCAGCCGTTGTTAGCACCAAGCTGGAACACCTACCCCTCCTTCCGCACCCCTCCATCCCCTTCCGCACCCCTCCGTCCCTTCCGCACCCTCCGTCCCCTTCCGCACCCCTCAGTCCCTTCCGCACCCCTCAGTCCCCTTCCGCACCCCTCCGTCCCCTTCCGCACCCCTCCATCCCCTTCCGCACCCCTCCGTCCCTCTCCACACCTCTCCTATCTCTCTCCGTCCCACTCCGTCCTTCTCCGTCCCCTTCGTCCTCCTTCGTCCCCTCCTCACCTCTCCGTTCCTCTCTGTCCCCCTCCTCACCCCTCCTCCCCTCTTCAATCCCCTCCCTACCTCCCTCCGTCTCTCTCCTCCCCGCCCCGCCCCTCCGACCACAAATGTGAGGGGAGGGGGAGGAAGAATGGTGAGGATGAGGGGAAGGAGGGGTAGGGAGGGAGAGAAAGGGCTTAACATCGCTCTATTATGGAGTTAGAAGAGGGGAGGGAAGGTGAGGGAGAGAGGGGAGGGAAAGTGAGGGGGGGAGGGAAGGTGAGGGAGGGAGGGGAGGGAGGTGAGGGAGAGAGAATACTGTACAACCCGTTATTATAATTCAGGTTAGGTGTTAAATGGGTACATATTATCCCAGTATATACATCACCTGAAGTATAACATGTGTCTCTGTTAAAGATAGTGAAGTATACTAAGAAATATATCCATCGTTAGACCTAAAAACACACTGAGTATGTCCTTTTTTATCAGTATAAGATAAGTTAACAATATAGTCTCTCATTTAATAGCTTGGTGGTGGTGGTGGTGTACGTGGCGGGAAATCTTAGTCATCCTCTAAGTGTCACGCGGAGGATGACGTAGGCTAGATCTTGACTTAATACACGAGGGTTAGGTCACCACACTATCTCTCCCCCCTCCTCATTGCTGCTCACCCACATTATATTATTATTTATGTGACATTTTACTCATTATCTGGACAGAATTCTTTACTTCAGTCACGTATCAGAGCCCCCTGGTGAGATTATTTAGAAGCAACGGAACCGAAGTCAAATATAGGCCTAAAGTAAAATGCTAATTATTCTCTTAAAACTGTTCTAAATATAAATATAATACAAACAAAGGGAAGGGGAAGAGGAGGGGGAAGGGGAAGGGGAAGAGGTCAGTAATGGGTGGCATTATGGTAGCAGCTGTTCCTTCTTCCCGTCTGCACAATAAGTCAGTGATTTTTCCCCTCATTATCTGTGTTGTACAGCTTCCTTGGCCTGCCGGAGTCTCTGGGGGTGTCGTCGTCGTGGTTCTTGTCTCCCCCTCCCCCTCCTCTTCCCTCTCCCCTCCTCTTCCCTCTCCCCTTCCCTTCCCTCTCCCTCGTCTCTCATCTTCATAATTCTAGGAGAGGGGAGGGGGAAGGAGGAGGAGGGAAAGGGTGGCAGGTATATAAATCAAACTGTGGTAACTCCTGTGTCCCTCCCCACCATCGTGTACTCCACTCTCAGTAGCGTGACAACATCTGCAGGTGGTGGTCCCTACTAATGACGTTCTTGAGCTGGGAATCATTAACCACACAGAGCTAAAATCAGTCTCTCTTTTAAGCTAGAATAGAAAATAAAGCTAATAAAGCAAAACAAGCTAAATGGGGTATATTACAGCTAAACGTGAATTTTAGCTTAATTTAACTAGCACAAACACAAAAATACGCTAAGTTGACGCCGTAAAATCCGACAGACTTACTACACATACGCCCTCACTGATCCTCAACCTGAATGCTATATGTTCTCATTTGGTGAAGGGGAATAAAGAGAAGAAAAAAATATCAATAATATGGGGCAGATGTTCCTGTGTGTGTGTGGTGATGGGTAGGTAGAGAGAGGAAGGGGGCGCTCACATTGTACCCCCTACCTAACTACCCCCACACGGAAGCTTACAATATAACTTTATATAATCTATTATCACAATACAAAATCTATTTCACGACTTTGATCAATAGACTCAAATATAGATCATAAGGATAATATATTGACTTTACTATTAAAACATTATATTATTATTTTCTATGCAACGGGAGGGGGGAGGAGGGGGGGGAGGGGGAGGGATGGGGGGAGGGAGGGGGATGAGGGAGTGGTAGTTGCATATAGATCAATATTTTTCATTAAATGCAAGAGATTAGGAGATAAGGGTCACGTGCTGGGACATATGTGGATATTCTCAGCCATATACGTCACGCCCACACATGACGCCCACACACATGACGTCCACACATGACGTCCACACATGACGCCCACACATGACGCCCACACATGACGCCCACACATGCACTTATAATATTGCAAAGACAAACGTATTATATTATATTACATACAGTACATACATACAAACATACATACATACATACATACATAAATACAGTCACATAATTTATACCTCGGGATTATACACACACATGGATACCTTACATATACACTCACATATAAATAATACATATACATCCAGAGTAACACACATACACCAAAAAGTAACCCTGAAAAACCCATCAGGTGTTGATGTGAGAGGGACATTATTGCCCAGGTAGAACCAATTAATTGTAAACGATCTCACGTATAATAATTCTTCTTTCCCTATGTTAATTAATCACTATATCTTCCTCTAATGATATATAATTAAGGTACAATAATTAAGGTATTTTTTGTTTAATTGTACAGTAATTTCTGATGCTCGTTCACTATTTATCGTAGCGTTGAAATTTTAGTCTGATGTGGTCGTGTTTTTTTTTACATTTCTCTCTGTGTTGACGTGAGGCCTTTTGTATATGTTTGATGGATGTATATATTTTGTTTTGGTATGTTTTTTTTTGTATTATCGGGTGTTTTTGTATTGTATTTTAGTGTTTGGATTGTTGTGTATTCATGAGATATTGACTTTGGTTTATAGTGGATGTTTTAAGTTCTTCTATAAAGGTCTGTTTGGGTTTTATTCTACTAAATGGTTAACGTAAAAGTATCGTTCTGTTGGTTTAAGTTAGTTTAGGTTTAAGTTACGTATTTTCTTAAGTATTTAGTGCTCCCGTAGCTTTATCCTCGGTTAAAGAATGTGGTGGAAGCTTACGATATTAGGGACGCTCTAGCTAAAAGGTACGAAATATCACCAACAACGAGTATTTTAGTTAATTGTTTGAGTTCGTAGTGTCATTAGTGTCATTAGTAAGTTATTAACAAAATCATGTATTCGTCTCTTATAACGTAACACATCGCTTCGATAATTAAGGTCATTAAAAGCGTATTGTACAGTAGCTTAGTTAATATAGAACTCATCAACAAACACAGGTACACAGGTACATCCATCTAATAGCACAGTGGTGGGTGATGGTGTAGTGAGGAGTGGAGATTAATTGACACGTCCCTATTATCTCTCACAGCCCAGCCCCTCGGTGTAGTGTGAACCAACACCTGTGACCTGTGACCTGTGACCTACCTCTCTTCCCTTGTTTATCATTAACTATTTACACACGTCATTTAGAATCGATGCCATGACCTGTATTACTTGACAATCTTATAATAAACAGTATGTGAATTAGTTTATAATTGGTATATTTTTGTTTTTGTTTTGATTGAGTTTGTTTCCACAGATGTGAGCGTAATATTGTGGAATCATCTCTTCGTTATGTCAATTTCAATGAGACTAACGATAATCAATGTGCAGTTTTACCTCATAGTGCTAATAGGATAGAGTGATTGGGACATGTATATTCTGTATATTATGTATTATAACTTACACTAGTGTTTTCCAATCGTTATCAGTATTATCGTCTCGTAAACTAAGGGCAGGCACTTCTTAACTCCGAGATGTAGCCTTTAGTATTATAACACCGTCAGTTAACACCAGATGGCCCCAGGGAACAGGTTGTCATGGACAGTAAAATGATTATCACCACAGATATCGTTCAGGTTTCGCTTCTGTGTGTGTGATAGGGTTTAAGGATGATGCTGGTGATAGGTGATAGCCATGCTGGTGATATTGTAGTCTTTGGTGGTGTGTGAAGGTGACGGTGTATATGCTGGTGACCGATGCTGGTAGTGGTGAGTTGGTGACCAGTGTGTGTGTGTGTGTGTGTGTGTGTGTGTGTGACAAGCGAGGATTAACCCATGGATACTATTATCACACGAGGAGGATAAATAATAAACAAAACACAACCATCTATTTCCTATAACAAAAGAAGATAAAGAAATGTAACCTAACTTAACCTAACCAAACATAATCTAACCTAACCTAAAGAATCTCCGTTAGGTTGAGTTAGGTTAAGTAATTGGGTTAGGTTAGTGTATTAGATATTTTTATGTCTTGTTAGATGGTGTATAGTATTTTCAGTCATTCATTTAATACTTTTATCCAATTGAAAGTTTATGTTGTTATACTTTGGATATACGTGAGGGAGAGTTAAGTGTGGAGGGGCCTGGTCGGTGGAGTATACTTTAGTAAGGTGTATATTGGGTGTAAGAGTGTGGAGTATACTTAACTGGGGGTATAACAGAGGGGCCTGGTCAGTGGGGTATACCCGAGTGTGGAGGCAGGAGGTACAGACACTCATTTCATCGATTAGGACTCATAAACCCTAATTACTAGCTGGGTATAGTGGATGTGTTGCTAGTTAAGAGCTTCCTCCCTCTCTCTCTCTCTCACTCACTCTTATT